TCCTGGGAGAGAGCCCATTGAACCTCCTGCCAGGATCCCCACTGAGGGTGCAGGGAATCTGCTTCTCCCTCTGCCCCTCTCCTGCTCGTGTTCTGTCTCAAATAAATAAGTAAAATCTTTGAAAAAAAACTCTGAAATTTAAGAAACAGGATTACTAAAAACAAAACAATAGGATTATTCAGATTTACCTACAATTAAAAAAAATCAAATCCCTCAACAGAAGTATCTTTAGGGATAAACTTGAGGCTTGACTGTTGTTTGGCCAATTACTATGACTTTGGGAAAGTTAAACTTAACCTCTTTAAATGCCAGTTTCCTTATTTGAAAAATGATGGTGAAAATGTTTTCCTCATGGGACGTACATGAGAATTATACAGATCATGTATGTAAATAACTAGTATTCCTAGTATTAAACTCAGTAAAATTAAAAAATTAAGATGCTGATAGCAATAAGTTCTTATAGCCAAGTAATAATATATTTTTGTTCTCAAAAAAAATTCTTGTTCCCTAATCTTTAAGTTATATATGTTACTATGATCACCCTGTTCCCTTTTAAACAGTCCTCATTCCCCAGCATTTTTATTAGTTATACTTCATAACGTGTTGTTTCTTAATTTGTGTTCTCACAAATTAAGCCACTCCTTGGCTTCCTCACGCTGGAGGCATATCTGGACCAATCAATATTCATCATGGCCTAAAAACACTCAATTTATGGGCAATAAAGTGGATCAATCACCTTAATATAAGGGCAACTATATCTTTATCTCCTTCATTGCCTGATGACTCTGTATAGAAAAAGCAACTAATTTGGCATTTATTCAACTATGTTTATTATTTACTCTGCATTAGGCAATGGTCTAGGCAAGGGATATAGCAATGAACAAAGTCTTTGGCTTCATGGATGTTGCCTGGAAGAATGGTAAGAGGAATTAAACTACTTGCAAATTAGAATAAGTTTAGTCAGGGCAAAAATTTTGTTTTCTCCCTTGGGAAAACCTCACTGATTTATAAATGCAGGAAGAAAAATAAAGACTGTGTGTTGGGATCCCTGGGTGGCGCAGCGGTTTGGCTCCTGCCTTTGGCCCAGGGCGCGATCCTGGAGACCCTGGATCGAGTCCCACGTCAGGCTCCCGGTGCATGGAGCCTGCTTCTCCCTCTGCCTGTGTCTCTGCCTCTCTCTTTCTCTCTCTGTGACTATCATAAAAAAAAAAAAAAAAAAAAAAAAAAAAAAAAAAAAAGACTGTGGGTTAAGAGCAACTGTGAAGAATAAAGGGTAAATCATGGAGCCTTCATTCAGTTCCTACTTTATATTTGCTAATGCTAGATGGGCTGTAAAATTGGATAGGATACAATATCTTTCCTCACAGTGCTTCCAATATAGCTGGAGGATGTGATATATAGTAAGTGCTAAAGTGTCTCGGTTTCCTTAGTGTAACAAAAGGCTGAGCTTAAGAATGGCTGAAAAAGGCCTGTTCATGTAGCCATCTGAACTGGGAGTATCCCTGTACCTCACCACTCCAGGGTTAATGGCGGCCACATTATTTTGTTACAAAGTGGGACATTAGTATAGAGTGATGCTCACCATTTGTAAGTCCCTTGGCATTACAGAATTATTTCACTGATCAAATTTCACTGCTGATATTTTAGATTAACATGTTTTTAGTTCCTAGGGATGCCTGGGTAGCTCAGTGGTTGAGCATCTGCCTTCAGCTCAGGGCGTGATTCCAGAGTCCTGGGATTAAGTCCTGCATTGGGCTCCCTGCAGGGAGCTTGCTTCTCCCTCAGGGGTCTCTGCCTCTCTCATGAAAAACATAAAATGTTTTAGTTCCTGCCCTCTCAGAACAATATGTAATAACCAAGGGAAGAGATTATAGAAACCTGTCTCTTCAATATCTAAAAATAAAAACAAAAACCCACATCTGGTAACTAATGCACAATTAGGGAAAAATTGGGCAGCCTATGAAAATGACATGGGCTATCTACGCGTGTATAATGTTAATGTGATATTAACCCTTGGATGGAGTGAAAAGAAATTAACTCTAATACAATCAGGGGACTCTGGGAAAATATAATGAAAAAAAAAGTGTCATCTAAGTTTAGTCTTAAAACACAGGTAGAGTAACAATAGGCAAAAGAAAAGAAAAAAAAGAAGGGTAGAGAAGGCAGAAGAAAGTTTGCCTGGAGACAAAAGAATACAGAAAGGGTAGGAAACACAATAATCCAAAACCAGACCAGGTGCTGGAGGGGGAACTTATTTTACAACCTTAGAATACTTGTTGGTTGGACGAAATCAGTGGAATACAAAACTACAATTAGTTTATAAACCTTTACCTCTACAAATAATGGCCCCTTTTAGCTCTTAAAATCCTTCTGGGGGTTCTGCCCTACGCCCCCAGTGTCAGTACCTTACAGATCTCCTTGAGGACTGAAAAGCTCCACTGCAAAAGACAGGCATTCTGTGAGTTTCAAGTTTTCTCACATTAACATGTGAGAAACATGTGAGGCTTATTTTTAATTCCCGGACTGACTTTTCAAAGCAGGTATTTTTATTTTCTTTTTTAATAGCTGAGGAAACTGGGTTTTGGCAGATTAATGGACTCACCTAAAACCGTAAACAGTTTGTATTTTAACAGTGATCTGTCTGATTTAAAATCCCAATCTCATTTTACTAAGGTGGCTTTTTACCAGTGCTGTACACTTCAATAGCCTGGGGCGGCGGGGGGTGGGTGGGGGGGGGACACCTTTTAAAAATGAAACTTTTAAAAATTAAGTTTCAATCAAAGAAATACCTATGTACAATTAAGAAAAAGCAAAATAATACTGTTGGATTGACAGTGAAAGACAGCAATCCTCCTTTTCTCTATCCACTCTTTGACTTCTTTCTCTAGAGACAACACATTTTACGTTCATTATAGTTCTTTTTTTCTGAAAAATGTGTTTATACTTTTTTTATTGACTTCTCTGTATTAGATCTTGAGGGAGTCTTTCCCATTACACACACCTGTGTCCTCTCCAATCCCCCCAATATCACACAATCATTTCTTGTTGTATTGGTATTCAGTGTTTACATAATCATGACTTCGTATGAATAGTATCATTCTCAAGTGAAATATGCAATGCAATTCTCGAAAAACTTTTGAATGTTCCTGTTTCATAATAAGATTTATTTTCTTGATTTTTAAGGAATCTGCAGACCACCAATTCATCCCCAGACTCTGAAAAAACAAAAAACCCCCCAAAAAACCTCTTTTTATATTCAAACACACCCGGTACGCTCAGTTTTTTCTTTTTGAGACATTCCACCTAACTTTTTTTATCTTGAGACATTTCTTACTGAATTCATGCTGCTCTCCCTTCCTCTCCTCCCTCCTTAATCCGGTTACATTGCTATCTTAGCAACTTTGCGGCACACCGCTTCTATCGTTTGCTCTTTAAGGAATAAAACGCCCTTCCCCGCATTGACGACTGTGTCTCTCTCACCATCACCATGCCCTCCCGCTTCAACATCCCTCCCTGGCTTCTTGACTGTCCTTTTCCACGACCAATGCTGGTAACATCTGCGTTCTCACAACGATTAAGAATCGTCTCAAAAGATGAAAGCCACCAAAGCATTTACGTCATGACGATCATTCACACGTTATTCACGAAGTAGCTCCGCGTAGCGCTGTGGCTGGATTTCCCTCTGGTTGGCTCCAAGGGCTCGAACCACTCGCTACTCCCAGGGGCACCGAGAGTCCACTTTCTTACACTCCAACCCCCTGTTCAAAATCCAGCAGCATTTTACGTTGTTTGGCATTAGAAGGATGCTTTTCCCTGTACAGTTATGTGTTGTTGGTTTTTTTTTTTTCCCCCACTGAAAATTTGATTGTCCCGGTTTTCTCTTGCTGGACTGAGGAAATATTTTTGCCTTCCACGTGTATCTTTAAGACCTTCAGCTTCTTATTAATTCAAGGTCCTGCTTACAATCCAATCCAATCTTCCCGAAATTTGCGTTTTCCTATTTTAATCCGGACCGTGAGCTTGCTGTACACGAACATTTATTTTTCTGAAACCTTCTTCGTAGCCTTCCTTTTTCCTAACGCGTCACGGTCGTTCTGTTTTTGCTTGAAGGCTGCAAAGCTTCTTAAATAAGCTGAAGCGCTTCGCGGTCCCCGCAAAACCGGCCACGGCCCCCCGCCAGCCGCCCCCCGCCTTCCGCCTTCCGCCTTCCGCCGCCGGCCCGAAGCTCCGCGAGGACCGAGAGCGCAGCCGCAGAGAGCGCTCACGCCCTCTCGCGAGATTCCAGAGCTCGCGCTCGCCGCGCCGCTTCGCCGCCGGGGCTCCCGGGAGGCGGCCATGTCCTGGCCCGCCGGCCTCCTAAGCGCGGCGCTAAATGTGTACCTGCAAGCGGATGTTGAGGATCACCGAGCCTGCGACGTAGAAGTACGGGAAGTTCATGCGCAGCTGCCAGGCTAGCTCGAAGAAGGCGAGCAAGGTGCGGGAGAGTCCTTTGCAGAAGACTCCGTAGGAGCTGGGGACCCCGGCCGTGCTGCAGGCTTTGAGGGCCACGGAAGACGGAGCCGCCGCGGTGGCCATGGGCCCGTGTCCCCGCGCCCCCAGTGCTTAGAGCCGAGGGTCAGCACAGGCCTCGCGGACCCCCGACCGAGGGTGGGGACGGCGAGGGGCAGGTCGGCAGTGGCTACGCAGCCGCCAGCTCCTACCGGCGCCTCCCGCTGGCTGGTTCCCTCCCCGCGGCGCTCCGGCCCCGGCCCCGGCCGCCGCCGGCGCTCCGCCCCTTCCTGTCGGCTGCTGCCCGGGTTGTTAGCGCTTAGAGCCCAACAGGTGGTAGGTGCGGAAGGGGCCGTTTTGGTATACACCCTACACTTGGTCTTATCAATATGGTCAGCCAGACTGATATTATTATTTTCCCTCAAAAATGAAGAAAGGAAACTTAGTAAAAAAAAAAAAAAAGTCATGGTTTGTAGAGAACGCAGTTTGTGAGCGTCGAACTCTATAGACTGAAGCTCGGGTTTGTCTGCTATGTGACCTGGGGTATTAGCCAGGAATGTCACCCTTCGGTTCCATAAAATTAACCTTAATATTAGGGCAACATGAACTCCTTACATAAGCTAGTTCTTTTTTTCCTTTTTCTTTTTTTAAGGTGTTATCCATTCATTCATAAAGATAGAGGCAGAGACACAGAGGGAGAAGCAGGCCGGTGCCTGATGCACGACTAGATCGCAGGATCCCGGGATCACGACCTGAGCCAAAGGCAGATGCTCAACCACTGAGCCGCCCAGTAAGGCCAGTTCAGACGTAAAGTCTCCGTATTGATAACATACTTAACTGTAGAGGATCACAGTCTCAGGCTATAGATTTCCCTGTGTATTAGGACTCTCCATCGCAAGTGATAGAAACATTTAAGCAAAACAAAATGGAAGACACACATGCACACATATACTCTTCTTTTTTGGGGGGACACGTTCCATATATACACTGTCATCCCCGCCCAGGTAAACCCATGAATAGTCCAAATAAGGTATGGAAGCCTCTACCATTTCTCCATGGAGATATACCTGTGAAACCTGTGGCTAGGCCCCAAAGCTTGGAATACTATTAAAATCTCAACTCGGAATAACCTTAGGTTAACATCATAGTTTATCCTCCATAGCCACATACTCTTCTGATGTTTAAATGGTGTACATTCCATTACCTTCTCTACATTTTAACTACTAAGGACTGCAGTTTTTCACCATAGACAACCTTTACATTCAGGGATTATTCAGATATGTAACTTCTGATCAAAATCTTCAGATTACAGTCTAGTTTGTTTATGTATCCCACATCTCACTCTACTGAATAGCGGTAGCCACTCTTTGAAGCACATTTAATATATCCCAGAGGACTTCTGTTTCCATATATCCTACTGATGATATGATTGGTACAAATAATATGCCCCTGTGAAATTTGTAGAATGTAATTGTGTGTCCCCAGCCAGAATTTCTTCTACTTTGCTGTACTAACACCCCAGCAACGCTGTGTAGATGGCACTTAGAGGAACTGATTGCCAGTCATTTGAGACAGTTTATAAAATGGAGTAGTTGGGGGCAGCCCGGGTGGCTCAGCGGTTTAACACCATTCTCAGCCCAGGGTGTTGTCCTGGAGATCCGGGATGGAGATCCTGCATGGAGGCCGCTTCTCCCTCTGCCTGTGTCTCTCTCCCTTTCTCCCTCTCTGTGTCTCTCATGAATAAATAAGTAAAAAATCTTAAAAAAAATAGAGTATTTGGTAATATAAAATATTCTGGAGTAGTATAAGATGAATGGCAACTCTGAGAACCAGGAGAAAAAGTGTAATTTTAATATACAAGTACAATTTACTTTTTCTGAAAATTGAAAAAAAGAAATTGAGATATTCAGGGTCACTGAAGTCATTAAGTTTCTGGGTCTTCCATTTCCAACTGTATAAAACTGTGGACTCCTCCTCTACCCTTTCTATACTACCTTACCTCTTATACCCGGCTCTGGTTAACTCCATGAAAATCCTGTCTTTCATCCTGAGCCCATGGGGAAAATAGCAGCCATCCATTCCTAACCTGGTTCAGTAGATGTCCCGTTCCAATGCAAAAGGACTGGGCATATCAGAATAATCATGAAGCTCTGTCTCCTACTCATTAATGCTCTAGAGATGAAGAATTTCTATCTGATGAAACTGATAGTGGAAAGTGGAATAGGATTTTACATGGTTGTGATGTTTATTTTGTCCTATGATGTTTAGGCTTGCAACTTTAGATTTAGATTTGAATGATCTTTAGACTTGAATGATCCACAGTTATTGCCAAGTAGGCACATATAAGTAAGCAATCAACAATAACACATGTCCTAAACTATTTCTCTAGTTGATAATCCATTGACTATTAACATGACCTTCCTTTCCTAATCTTATTCCCCTTTTTTTGACTCTATATTTCCAAGTTAGTACTTTTTTGTTTTTTGAGAGCAAGAAAGTGTGTGTGAGGAAGACAGAATCTCAAGCAGACTCCCCAACATGGGGCTGAACACACAACCTGAACCAAAATCAAGAGTCAGACACTTAACCAACTGAGCAACCCAGGCGCCCCTCCGGGACCCCCTTCAATTTGGTACTTTTTAATGGTCTGATTAGTGTAATGATTCTTTGGAAAAGTTTAAAGGTGTCAGTGGGTCTGCAAAGGACTATATTGGCAAATTCTCACTGTAATAGGTGTAATAGGTCTTTCATTTATCATTTTATTTGTTTGAACCTGTCTCTTACTCCGAATCTGGTTAAAGTTTTATCTTAAAAAAAAAAAAAAAGCAGCTTGTAGTTTCATTGGTTTTTTTTCCTCATGTCTGTATAGTTTTTTTCATTTACGCTCCTTGTTAGTTTTTTCTGTAGTTCCTTGAAGTATAAGGTTATTTGAGAACTTTCAATCAGCCCACCCCAAGCTTATGGCTGCCACTCAAACCTTTGTGATTATCCATACCACTGTCTTTGTTGTTAGTGGTTCGCAGCAGATGATGGTATGTGAAGACCTGTCATTGTCCCTAAGGCTTGGGAACCTGAGTAGTTACTCATTACTTTCCCGTTCAGCTCCTTGATGCAAGTTTGACCTTCATGCAGCAGTTGGAAAGTCTGGACATTAGATATGCAGACTAATCCCTATTAGGGAGAAACAGCTGGGTTTTTGCCTACTTTGTGCTTAAGCAGAGGGAATAGTTAGTGGGAGTCTGTGTGTATGTATAGAACCATCTCTTCAGTTTGTGTGGTCCCCAAGGATTTGTGAATGCTGAATCCTGCCGACTCTAGAGCCAGCCCCTTCGGTGGCAGCCATAATAATTGGGATGCTGGATGTCTAGATATGCTTCTAGTGAGAAGCTGGAGATTTGGTTTTATTACTGAAGTGATCTGGGAGGACACAGTGGGTGATGTGTCTAGCTACTCTGTCAGGTTCCTGGGAGAATCACAGTTCCAACATACAGGCTGATTAGAAGCCCTATCTTTGGGCAGCAGCTGTTAAAGTCTACAGATTCCTTCTAGGGAAGAACCTGGAAATGGTGTTTTCTCCTGCTTTCTTTCTGCACTGAACCTGGGGGTGGGGAGGGATTGCCGTGGGGACTGCTAGCATACCTGTTAATAACTACTGCTTTGTCTAATATAGTCCTGTAGACCTAGATGCAAGCCTTATTGTCTGTTAGAGCTAGATGATTTGGGAGAGCATTTCTTGGGTGGCAGTGTCACAAGTTGGGGCATTATATTTGTGGTCTAAACTTTTTGCTCTTCAGGGAGAAGCTGGGAGTTGGGGGTTCCCTCCTGATTGGTGCTGTACAGGGGTGAGACTTATGCTGAGAGTGTTTCATCCTTTCCTACTTGTTTTGATGTGGGTTTTTTCTAAATTTTCCAGTGTGTAGGAGTCACTCAATTAGTCTGGATTTTTCTTAGAGGGAATTGATTCATGCATAGCTGTGTATTTGGTATGTTGTGAAAGGAGAGAAATTTGGGAGCTTCCTATGTCACTATCCTAGTGATATTCTAACTCACTTTCCATGGTTGCCCCAGGGGGTTATTCTCTATTTGTATGTGGGCATATGTGCATATGTGTGTTTGGCATGGATAGCATTTATGGACTAGGTGTGGAGTTTTCACACATTACTTCTCATGCTGCGTTGTCTAGAACGTAGTCATTTGATCACACCTAACTACAAAGGAGGCTGGGAGGTGTCTCATATATGCTTAGGAAAAAGAAAATAAGGATTTTGGTCTGCCTCATTGTATCTGCCACAGTCTCCACGCCTATTTTTAAATCACCTTATGTACCCTTTTCCCCACTTATAGAACACACTCCTACAACCTGGGAACAACCCCCAACTTCTATATTTAAGTTCTATCACTTTAAAATTTAGGAATTTGGGGGTGATAAGCAGTTCTCTACATGATTTCTGGTTGCTGTTCTTCATAGTCTGTTGACAAATGAACACAGAAAACACAAGATGGGTACCTTTTTCCATCCACCACCGAATATAAAATGGTTAGGGTCAGGCTAGCTGGAAAGAATAAATTCCTCTCATTTGGAAAGAGGAGAAAAGGGGGTATACAGCTGTCCATTGTTGATAGCAGAGGAGACTAAGGGGTATACAGCTGTCTGTCGTTGATAGCAGTGACAGTCTGGTTAGGCACTGTGAAGCCCCTGGCACTGACTTTGCAGGGAAGTTCCTGATTAGTCCCTGTGTCTGGGCTCAGGATAACTCCCTTATCCATCATTCTTTGTGTTTCCTGACTCTGCCCTCAGGATGTTCTTCATTATTATTATCCTCCTTGGCTATATCTGAAGTAGATGTTGGAGAGGATACCCTCCGAAAAGGCGTACATATTTTAAACCTACTCCTTGATAATACAAATTTGGAAGTCAGTAAGTCATTCAAATATCACAGGTTTCATTGTCACACTCAATAAATACATTTACCACAAATATTTAGGAGATTTTGTTTAATCTATTTGCTTTTATTCAGATGTCTGGAGACAAAGATTTCCCTTACATAAATGTGTGCTTTAATTAATTAATTCACTTACCTATCCCATGACTACTACTTCCATTTCAATAGCAGCTATCTAGACCATCTGAAATAATGGGCTTATGTCAGAAGTCTAAACCCTTAGTCTAGTCTTTTTTTATGAGAAATAGTTTCCATGTTTAATGGAAAAGTCTTCGTGAGCCTTTGTCAGTGAAGGATTTTCTTCAATTTATTTATTACTGTTTGGGACCTAAGACCTGTGAGATTTTACAACCCTATGAAACCCAAAATTTTTGGACTCCCTCTTCCTTTTCTATTTGCAACCCAGTCAGTTAATTTCTTTCTCATCTTGTCTGATGAGACAATACCTTGCTGAATGCTTTGGAGAACAACTTCCCACCATTTTAGGTCTTATCAATCACTTCTACTAGGGCCATGACTGTAAAACAAGGCCTGCCTCAAAGACTTTACATGTAACATTTTAAAAGAGTTTGCCACTGTATCATAGGAGCCTACATGTTTCCAGCTTTCAAAATCTGTTTCTTCACCATCCAAATGCCAATAAACAAAACTGCCTATTTGTGTCACAAATAGGCTCCAAAACATCAAGTGACTCATATAATACAGACTTTAATTGCTCTCTTCACCATACTGATGTGTTTAAGAAGCCTTCTCCCTACAGTTACCCAGGGAATCAGGCTGAACAAACGTATTCCATTCATTAAGCCCGTTCAAGTTCAGAGTTACTATTGAAAGATATGAGTTTAGTGTCATCATGATATCTACAGAATTCATTTTTTTGTGGCCCTTTCCATAGGCACTTCACTGCCTGGCTGCTTTCTTCTTCAAGACCAGCAAGACTCTCTCATTCAAGGGAAGCTCAGCCACTCTTTAAGCTTTACCTGATTACATCAAGCCCATGAAGGATAATCTCCCTTTTAATTAACTCAGAATTGGGGATTTGGGATTCTAAGGATCTGCAATACCCCTTCATGCTGGCCATATTACGCAGGCTAGAAATAAGCCACAGGTCCTGCCCATGCTCAAGGGAGGAGCGGAATTACACACGGTGTGAACATCATGGGGAACAAACATGTTTAGTTTTGACCTGATTTGTGACCCAGTATGTACAATTTATTAGCTTATTAATTTTATGAATCATGCTCTTGATGTTGGATCTAAGAAGTCTGCCTAATTCAACTTTACAAGATTTTATTTTTTTCTCAAGTTTATAGTTGTTCTTCTTACATGTAGTTTCTATGATCAATTTTGAGTTAATTTTGTCTATGGAATGAAATAACGATCTAAATTTATCTCTATGAAGGTGGATATCTAATTGTCCCCAATTCACTTGTTGAAAACAAAAGAATGATAATTTTGCCACTGATTGCCTTGAATTCATTTGTAACAGCGTGCTAGCCTGTCTTGTGTTAACTTGCTTCAAATTAAAGAATAGAGTACTCCTGCACATCACAAAACAAGAACTGTACTATCTTGTGCAACTATCTTGCACTGAGATGACATTTGTAGCTGGCATCGTGGAGTCTGCACAAAACCAAGAAATTCTGCAGGTCATTGCAAACCTTTTGTTGATTAACTACTTAAGTCCCTTGAAAAACCCCTGGGCCAGGCAGAAACCTCCGAGTTGGGCTTTGGACAAGAGTCTGCCTTCTCCCCAGGTTGCCAGCCTCCTGAATAAAGCTCATGTTTCTTTCCAATAAAAAACTCGCCTCTTGAGCGGTGCCTGGGTGGCTTTGTCAGTTAGGCTTCTGACTCTTGATTTCAGCTCAGGCCATGGTCTCAGGGTCTTGAGGTGGAACTCTGTGCTGGACTCCTTGTTCAGTGGGAGTGTGCTTGAGAGTCTCTCTCTCGTCTATCCCTTCCTGTTCCACATGTGTGCTCTCATTCTTTCTCAAAGAAATAAAAACCTTAAAAAAACAAAGCAAAACAAATTGAGTAATGGCCTTTTGAGCAATAGGCAGCCCAACTTGGGTTCGGTAACAAACTGTTCATGAATGTAAATATTTGTCTGGACTCTCTATTGTTTTTCATTAATATATATTTCTATCTGTGTGAGAGTGCCACACTACATTAATTGATACAGCTTAGTAGCAAGCTTTGATACTGGAAACTGAAATCCTCCAAATTTGTTCTTTTTAAAAAAATCCTTTTGCTTATTCTGGGCACTTTGCATTTTCATATATATTTTAGACATAGTCTTTCATTTTCTTCCAATAGAGTCTGCTTGGAATTTGATAGGAAATGCACTGACTATATAGATCATCTATCTGAAAAGACTCTCTGTATTCCAGATTTTAGTATGGGTGGTCCTCCTTTTTTACATGGCTTTATGATGAATTTAAAATATAATTTTGGCAGTTTATTCTCATCTTGCTTGTTATAGAAGGAAAATTTTCCTTTTTCAATCTGCTGCATTCTACTCCTAAATGGAAGTTATGGTAGGTTAACTTTAGTGTGTTAAATGACAAAGTAATAACCCTCCCTACTCTTTCTGTACCAGATGGGCAAGGTGGAAAATAGTATACAAACTCCTCACAAAGACCACTGGGAGAGGATATCAGTACTCTGCATTTTGCTGATCATACTGAGGCAGAGAGTAGCTTTAAAACGGTGTCCAAGATCAGAAATATATGAAGCAGACAGTCTGGGTTTCTCATTCTGGTAGTCTGGCTCAAGACCCTCTGCTAAAACAATTATTACAAAACATGAATCTGAATGAAATCTAAGGATATGGAAAACACATGTTCCTTTGAAATGTTCAAAAATATTTATCAAATTCTCTAGTATTTTAATTAAAAGTGAATATTTCAATATTAAATAGACTCAAAAGGGAAACTTTATCAAAGACCTAAGCATGAGAGATATATTTGATAACTACTAATAATGAGAGAAAGAAGGTATTTAAATTGGGATGATCTCCTGACACTGATTTTACATTTTGGAAATTACAGGACACTAATTCTATCCATGAGATGCATATGTATTTGTGTGAGTTTGTGTGTGTGTATGTGTTTATGAGCTTGTAAATAAATAAACTTATATGTAAATATTAGTTATCAGCAACTGGCTTTTAGGGAGAATTGTCTTTTCTGAATGCTTTTGATAGGAAAAGCTTAAATTCTTCCTATGTAAATCTGGCATTAAAAAAGTAATAAATCCGTAACACTGTAGATCCTAGTATGACCCAGCTCCATGAAATGGTCTGGATATTCACTGTTGTTCTATGAATTGGTTTTTTAAATTTTACTACCTAACAACTAAAGTTGAACACAAATTATGGAAAGGTTAAACAAGGAACAGATTGTAAAACAATATGTCTTTATTTGCATTTTAGCAAATGTGATACCAGCTTTCACTTTGACACCAGTTACAAAATAATCCAGCCCATGGCAAGGACACACAGTGTATGACTGGGAGTCAATTTAGCAATTTGGGAAAAACAATGTTTTTCATCAAGACAGCATTGAGCTCCTCTATTAGCATACCCTGTGCGTTCCTGCTTGACATTGGTTACAGAATTTAAAAGAAACGAGAACTTTACTGCACACTCAGAGGTCAGCTGCCTATAGAGCATAAGGTCAGAATATTCAAGGGATCACAAGCAGTAATATTAGATTTGGCTTTTTGGTTTGTTTTTCTTTCTAGACATGCTAACTTTACTACAGAGCATTTTTTCCATCCCAGTAATGACAGAATTTGTTCTAGGAAATTTTGCCAATGGCTTCATAGTGCTGGTGAACTACATTGCGTGGGTCAAGAGACAAAAGATCTCCTCAGCTGATCAAATTCTCACTGGTCTGGCTGTCTCCAGAATTGGTTTACTCTGGGTAATATTTATAAATTGGTATGCAACTTTGTTGAATCCAGCTTTATATAGCTTAGAAGTAAGACTTCTTGTTCATATTGCCTGGACAGCGAGCAATCATTTTAGCATCTGGCTTGCTACTAGCCTCAGCGTATTTTATTTGTTCAAAATAGCCAATTTCTCTAACCTTATTTTTCTTCGCCTAAAGTGGAGAGTTAAAAGTGTAGTTTTTGTGATGCTGTTGGGGTCTTTGTTCTTTTTGGTTGTTCATGTTGCAGTGGTAAGCATATATGAGCAAACGCAGATGAAGGAATATGAAGGAAACATCACTAGGCAGACCAAACTGAGGGACATTGCATACCTTATGAATATGACTGTATTCACGCTAATGAACTTTGTACCCTTTGCTATATCCTTAACATCTTTTCTGCTGTTAATCTTTTCCCTGTGGAAACATCTCAGGAAGATGGGATCCAGTGGTAAAAGATCCCAAGATTCCAGCACCAAGGTCCACATAAGAGCCATGCAGACTGTGATCTCTTTTCTTTTGTTATTAGTTTGTTACTTCCTGACTTCAATTGCCATAGTTTGGAGTTCTAATAGGCTGCAGAACAAGTTGATCTTCTTGCTTTGCAAGGCTATTGGAATCCTGTATCCTTCAAGCCACTCATTTATCCTGATTTGGGGAAACAAGAAGCTCAGAGAGGACTTTCTGTCATTTCTGTGGCAGCTGAAGGGCTGGCTGAAAAAAGGATATAAGAGGAGCATCATGTGTCGTCTAGAAGAAAACAAATTGATGAAGTCTGTAATATTTTTTTCTTCTACTTTTTCTAATGAGTATGTAATTGAGTAATTTCCAAAGGTTTACCTAAAATGTCTTTCACCTGAGCATATCACAAAAAGTATATGTGTCTGTATATATCTGTGTGTATTTATGAAAAATATAAGAAAGATCATAAGATTATTATATCATTAACCCACATTTTTCAGGTAAGTAAGCTAATTATACAAAATATTATAAGAAATTTCTCAAGATTATGAAGCAATGGATATTTTATATACATATTCTATGTATTATCTTCCGACTGAAGAATTTATGGTCTATATTTATACATTTTCCAGAATCATAACTTAATCTCAGGAAATCATTGCTATTTCCTATTGTCATCAGCACCACACATATGTATCACGGTGTGTTTAAATTTTATTGTTTGAATCTTCAGTCTTTTGGGTGGTAATGATATTCAATTGTAAATCACACATTGAAGATGAATGTTTGGGGTAGATACTATTTCATCATGAAATTTTTTGGTTAATAGAGAGCCATCAGAGCTATTGTTAGAAAAGGATGCACACAATAAAATTCAAGAGTGACAATATTTGGAGTACATTTTATTTATGTGTACAATAAACAGTACTAAAGAATATTAGAATTAATACAAGTAGGTAAAATCTTAGAAAAAAATCAAGTTCTACAATAAGAAAGAAGGAGAAAAAAAATCACGACTTGCTTTCAGGTTTCTATCTTCCCATAGGCAGTTAGGAAAGTCATTTCTTAAAGTTTTGAATGAAGAAGACCTTTTTCAAAGTTGAGGTCTGATGTCTAATTGTTCAGTTTTCATCTTTGAATCTCTGAATTGCCAATATTTTCTCTACCTTGCTACCTAAAAGCTTCTTTTAAACTTCAGATATCAAGACTTAGATCTTCCTTATCTTAAATATATGTTCATCATAAGAATAGTAAAAAATTATGGTACATAATGACCTTTCTGCATATATTAAAATAGTGTCTATTTTGTTTATGTAATAATTATAGGGGATGTCTTCAATAGCTATTTTATTATAATCTTGTGGAAAATAATGAAATAGTTTATTGACATATTATTTATAGCAAATTCCTTTATAAGAAAGAAATGAGTAACCTTGCTTGCCTGAATTTACACATCTATATTCATTCTTTGTATTATGAAATTTTATTTTTTTAAACATTTTTTTATTTATTTATTCATGAAAGAGAGAGAGAGAGAGAGGCATAGGCATAGGCATAGGGAGAAGCAGGCCTGATGCAGGACTTGATCCTGGGACTCTAGGATCATGCCCTGAGCTGAAGGCAGATTCTGTCTTATATTATGAAATTTTAAATTATTGAAGCCTTCAGATAAATTATTCCCACATCTGATTTATTCATTTGTTTTTAAAGATCTGTCTGCCCAGCAGAATATAAACAGTGTAATGTGGAGATCATGTCTAGTTGTTTCTTGTTGACTCCTCAGGATGTAAAGCCAGACCATAGAATAGTTGGTCCAAATGGTATGCTCATGACTAAGAAATGAATAAACTAAATTATGGTTGGTAAATAAATGAAAACAAAACTTGTCACAAAATCTGCAGGTTGCATGGATTCTTGGTTTTGTTTTTTCACCATCCAAATGCCTATAAACAAACCTGCCCATCTGTGTCATGAATAGGCTCCAAAACATCAAGTGACTCATATAATATAGACTTTAATTGCTCTCTACACAGTACTTCTCCCAATAGTTACCCAGGGAATCAGGCTGAACAAACGTATTCCATCTCTAACACATGGCTTCCGGGATTGCCTTAGAGTAATCCCCATTCCTGACAGCAGGGAGGAAAAAGGTATATGGAGGAGTGTTCTCAGGAATATTCTGGTGGGATAGGACTGTAAATGATGCACACAATTTTCACTCATATGACATCATTCAGATTTCAGCCACATTGCCACAACTACCTGTAAGGGAGGCTAGGAAATAGAGTCTCTGTGGCCCAGATGAAGAGGAGAAATACAACTGAGGACATGGATATTGGAGGACTCTTCATACCATTTCAATCAAAATAGCCAATAAGTTATTGTAACACAAACAGTTTCTACCTTTAGAAGCATGGTGTAGTTATTCATGTCACTTTGATAATTTATACATGCCCTAATATGAGTCTTGATTATCAACTCTTTTTCTCTATTTCTTCATAAATTCTAAAGAACTCAAGTTCAAACTAAATGTTCCTATCCATATAAAACCACAGTTGATTCTGCACTGTAGCATTTGTAGCTTCCTCATGTATATTGCCAGTGTATGTTGCTTATAACTTCTGATTTAACTCTTACAATATTATGCACTCGTTATTTATACTTACTTGCTCTAGGACTGAAATGTGCTCTTTGAACTATAAATCATTAAATTATTCATTCTTGTAAATCATATTGAATCCATAAAAATACTTGATAGGTAGAAGGATCTTATTCAATGAGTGACAAATAATGACTGAATTTTATAAAACTTTTTTCTAGGAATTTCTATTCAAAATCTAAAATATTTGCATTCAAATGTGTGGCTCAGGGAAGATGAAATAGAACTTAGGGGAAAATAATCTCATATTTGAATGTTTTCATACTTGACTTCATCCCTTTACTCATTAGGACAAACGGACATTTTCAGGTCATATAAGGATAAGTGTACATTGATTAGCGTTTACTCTAGAAGTTAGAGAGTAGCTGACTAAATAATTGGAGGGGTATTCATGAAGCTTTATTTCTCTTCCCAGAACTGTTTGGTTTAGCACTGGAAGTACAGTAGCAGTTGAGTGAATTTTTTTTTTTTTTTTTTTTTTTTTTTTTGTGAAAAGCTCTGAAACTATCACATAGAATTTTGGCTGTCCTTACTGGAATTACGATGAAAACATTTTAAGTGGATGTCAGCCTGATACTGTTTAGCTATAAAAGTGTCAGGGAGGCACCACTTCAGAAATATGTTCATGAACGTGTCATTTGGAATGAAGATCTCTTTCTGGTAGTGGCCACAGAAGAAGTCCTCTTAGGAATGCAGGGAAATCGGTTCATTTGCTAGGCCAACTGCATTGGACAAGAGTGGGAAAGTCTCACCAACTGCATTGGTCAAGAATGCAAGTCTCACCAACTTTATTGGTCAAGAATGGGAAAGTCTCATCAACTGATTTCATCCTTATCAGTTTGGATGTGGCCAGAGTCACCCAACAGTGGGTAACACTATTTGATTCAATTATGAACTGGCTGTCTCTACATCTCTGTGCCACTGATAAACCAGCAAAAGTAGTTACTATTTTTTGGGCACTAACTAATCACCGAACTACCTGGTTTACCGCCTGCCTAAAGTTTTCTGTTTCTAAGGTAACCAAGTTCTGCTTTTTTTTCATCTGGCTGAAGTGGAGACAGAATAGAATGGGTCTCTTGCTTTTCCTGGAGCCCTTTTCTTACAATTACAATCTGTTAACCTCTGTATGCAGGATGGCCCTGGTGAGTTGTGGATGAGTACCTATAGAGTACATGAGAGAAACATGACTTTGCATTTGGACATAAGTAAAACTTTCAGTCTTAAAAGGCTTCTGCTTCTTAGCTTGACTTATGTTACCCCTTCCTCCTGTCCCTAATCTCTTTGCTCTTTTTATTTCTGTTCTTGGTGAGACACCAAGAATTTGCAACTCAACTTAATGGCTTAAGGGACTCCAGCAGTGACCCCACAAGGGCCATGAAAATGGTGACAGCCTTCCTCCTCCTCTTCATCATTTCCTTATTTCCACTGGAATACCAAGTTGGATCTTCCTTAAGGTACAGAGATAACAATCAGGCCAAGATGTTTGTCATGGTGATTTCAGCTACCTTTCACTCAGGCCACTCACTCTGATTTTGGGAAACAGCAAGTTTTTTTTAAAGAAGGATACCTGAGACTATTGTGGCATCTTAAATTCTTGGAAAACAAATACATTTAGCTTCATAGATAGAATTTGAAAGAAATTTCTGTATTCTAAGGGGGAAATACCTTAACAGAAGACCTTGTAAGTTCATTTTCAATTTCAACATTTCTTTCATCAGGTCCTATTAGGTGTTGAACAGCACTGAAACTTCCCTTACCCCATGGGTTACCTAATCTATATTCTCAATGTGATCTGATATCATGTTTGGTTAAGGGAAATCTCTCTGCTATAGTAACACTTTTTGGCAACAGAAGTATTTGAGACATGAAGAAGAAAGGCTATCATTCTATAGAGCAGAATATTAATAAATGTATATATTATGCAATACACTATGAAGAAATCTATATAATCATGGTCATAGGAAGGGAAAAGAACAAAATTATTTGAACTTAAGATTAATTCACAATTAGAAAAAAGTATATTAAGTGTGATAACAGTTTACATAAATATAGAGGTGTAAACAATCTGATGTTAGTAATTTTGGAAAAGATCTGAAGCAATGATTTTTCATACAGTATTCATAGGATTGAACACTGATAAAAACAAGGTGAAGAATCTATCTCCTGAGACATTAATTGTACTCCTGTTTATGTTCACTAGAGAATGTTTGGTACTTGGAAACCAGGATATATATGCAAAAATGTGCATATTACTACTTTTCTTTCTTTCTTTCTTTCTTTCTTTCTTTCTTTCTTTCTTTCTTTCTTTCTTTCTTTCTTTCTTCCTTCCTTCCTTCCTTCCTTCCTTCCTTCCTTCCTTCCTTCCTTCCTTCCTTCCTTCCTTCCTTTCTTTCTTTCTTTCTTTCTTTCTTTCTTTCTTTCTTTCTTCTTTCAAGATTTTATTTATTGGGACACCTAGGTGGCTCAGCAATTGAGCATCTGCCTTCGTTTGGCCCAGGGCATGATCCCAGAGTCCCAGAGTGCATGAATAAATAATTATTTATAATAATTTATTATCTTTAAGATTTATTTATTCATTCATGAGAGGCACAGAGAGAGGCAGAGACGCAGGCAGAGGGAGAAGCTGGCTCCATGCAGGAAGCCCGATGTGGGACTCGATCCTAGGAGTCCTGGATCATGCCCTGGGCTGAAGGCAGATGCTCAACTGCTGAACCACTCAAGCATCCCTATTACTAATTTTCTTAATAGCTGAAATTGAGAAGTCATACTAATGTCCATTGTGATAGAGTAGTAAATAGATTATGGCATACTGATACAATAGAATGCTATGAAACAATGCAAATGAACAAATTGTATTTGTAATGTTTTTCTAGTTCTCTGTTAGAGGAATAAAGACACATAGAAAGATAACTTTGTACAGCATAATATATATTCTGTGTGATGTTTGAATAGGTTTGTGTATATGAAGTGCTATTTGACTGCTGTAATAAAATAACCCAGATTTAATCACAGTGGCTGGAAATGCAAATAAGCAGGTGGGAGAATTTTGCTTGCTAATGATGCTATTAAAATATGAAAGAAATTTACTCTGTGATTCTGTAAAGGATATGTATGTCTGTATGAAAACGCCATAAAAACAGTACGGTTGAGATAACTTTGGTCACAATTTTTAGAATGTAGTAAAGGAAAAAAATAGGAAGTAAATTCTTATAAATATGTTGGTTTTAAGTTGTCCTTGATGAAGTAGTAGGTGAAGGTGTTCTTTCAGGCTAAGCGCCAATACTAGGACTAATGTAAATACAAGGCCGCGGGGAAGCGTTCTACCGCAGTGAAATCTGCCACTTAGAAAGCTGGGTGAACTCCCATCTTTCGTTTAATGTTTTCCGGTTAGCTGCCATCATCATCATCATGTATCTCATTTAATGATATATATCTGAAATGTGTACATACATAATTTGGACAATGCCTAAAGGTTTTCATTTTCTTGCTAGCACTACTAACATTGTTTAAAAAGCTTTCTTTAGGGCAGCTCGGGTGGCTCAGCGGTTTAGCGCCGCCTTCAGCCCAGGGCGTGATCCCGAGACCCGGGATTGAGTCCCACGTTGGGCTCCCTGCATGGAGCCTGCTTCTCCCTTTGCCTGTGTCTCTGCCTCTCTCTCTGTGTGTCTCTCTTGAATAAATAAATAAAATCTTAAAAAAAAAAAGCTTTCTTTAAAAACTTGGTGTTTTGAGTATTTTGTTTCCCTCTAACAGATTGGTAGAAGAGCAAAAGTTTGTTCCCATCACTGAATCAGTTAAGTCTGAAAAAATGAATAATCAAGATTGAGAATTCAGTAGACATATTTAACAACCAATCAGACATAATGGAAGAGACAGATCTAGTGAATTGGAAGATAACTACCTAGAATGAAACATTAAAAGATTAAGAGATGGAAAATATAGGCTAGAGGGTGAGAAACCTGAAGGTAGTTACATAGTCTGTGTCTTTTCTAAATTCTCTTTGCAAAGTTCATAGTTCCCTTGGAGTCCATCTCTTTATAGAAGTATCAAATAATATTCAGCTAGAGGCAGTCATTTGATGCCTTCAATGTTTTGCCTCATAGTGTCTTTACTCAGATACAAGTTAATTTCATTCATTTTCTGTCTTCCAAGTTATCTTGAAAACAACTGCAAATATTTTAAAAGTGCCTAACATGCCACCATTTTTATAGCCTCTGTCAGTTTCCTCAAAAATCAGTGCCACATATTTAAGCTTCTGTTGCCATTATAGCCCACTTCTAATGGCAATTTTTGTGGCAGCCAGCTTTTATTGTGTAAGAAACACAAAACTCAGTGATAGATAATGATAAATGTTTATTTCTTACATATCTCTGGAGGCTAGTGATCTATGTTGGACTTGCATAGATATATCTTTCAGATTTCCAGCTATGTGTCTGGGGGCCAACTGGAAGCTAATTGACCAAAGCTGGACCTGATGGAACAACGTGGCTCCTCATACCTCTCATTCTTCACCCTGGACCAGTTTATTAACTAGACATAACATAGTAGAAGTGAAGGGTAAACAAGGCCTGTTATGCAGACCCCAGTGATATAAGTCCAGCAATGAAAGACTGCAAAAATCTATGTCAGCATCTAATTAGCCAAAGCAAATGACATGGCTGAGTACAGAGTAAAAGAATAGAACGGATCATCCCTCTAATGGTGAGAAGGTATGGCAATGCTGTAGGCTGAAGAATTGGGACCAACTTAAGCAATCTATCGCAGCATCCTGTATATCATAAAAGCAATTCTAAGCCACAATTTATGTCCTTGCATATATTTCAGTTTCAGTTTTCTGCTCCTATTTGGAATTCTTCATGTATAGTAAGATCTTAAAGATTACAGAGAGCTCCATTTGGATTTATATTTCAGAGATGATTACCACTGTTACTGTTTCTGAAATTCTGTAAATTCTTTTTTTCCTGTAAGTCCTCACATCTGTCCTATGTGTAAACTTCTCACAATTTTCTGCTTATCGATAAGTCCATTCTGTTAATTCCTTAATGGGTTGCACTCGTTTTTTCACTGGAGTCTTACTGATCAATTTGCTTTGTCTTTATTGAAAATACTGGGCAGGCAGTATTTTTATGTGCACCTTTTTGTTCATATTTTACCCTCTCCTAGCATTACTTCTCTGAATTTTACCTTTTATTATAATAAAATTAATGATATAAATGTTTCATTTTTGGATAAAAGCACCTATCATTTAAATTCAATTCATTTTCTTGTCAGTGAATAGGTAATATAATCCAAAGGTACATTCCATCATCAAACGTCCCCTCTAAGTGTGAACTTATTCCATGGTTATCTTGCCTGGTTATCTCTCTCACCTTCCATACACTTTCTTTTAATGTCCTAATTTCACAGATTTCTTTGCATATTGATACCTGATACATGCCATTCTTAAGTT